AATTAGCTTCAGATCATTCTGGGAGCTGGATCACAAAACCTGTATATCCCCTGAGACTGTGGAGATTTTGAGGGAGATCTTAAATAGAGGTCATTTGCCTCCATACTGTCTGCCAGCCCTCTCCCCTAATTAACAATCAGCATGAATCCAGGCAAGCTGTTTCAACAGGGCTTCTGCCAGGAGCTGCCCATAGTACCCTATGTGAAGGAGGATTTCACAGCATGCAAAGGGCTCTGCACAGAAGTTAATAAGCCTGAGGCCGTTATTAACTTCTAAGCAGATTTCTTGGAGTGTTGGCAGGAGAGACAGTGCACTATGTTCTCCCTCTTCATATGTGGAGTGTAGGGAGTTTTTTGTAGGGGACAGTTCAAAGCCAACAGAGCTGCAGTAGTGGCTCATCTCGTCCTTCCACACAGACATGAACAGATCAAGGGGGCACGAACCAGTCCATAGTATTTTCTCATTCAGTTCTGGAAGAAAAATATTCAGTGCTATTCTATATTGAAGTGCCTGGTGAGGAAAGATAGACTTGAGATTCTAAAATCGGACCTTATTTGTATTTACATCATGTGTAACATTTGGGGAATTGGCTGAACTGTGGTTATCATATGCACCCATAAAAGATACTCTAGGCCCTCAAAGAGGCTACAGTGCTTATTTGTCATTCCAGGAAGTACTGCATCAACTGTATTTCCTCTGATGATATCTTGATAACAACTAATAATTAGTGTCTGATTCTTTCATTTTATTGATGGCTGGTGCTGTAAGTGCAGCTTTTCCAGGAATGACAAGCCATAGGCTAGTGTTATCTGGCTGAGAAATAGCCAAAGACCTCAGATTTGCCTGAGATACAAAAAAAAGGCCTATAAAATGCACAAGAAAAGCCTGGGTTCTGGATGATGCAGAGGGCCCACTCAGAGCTCCAGCTATTTTGTCCATCTTCATTTTATAGGCCATCCTTACATTTCATGCAGAATAATTACAATAAGAAAAATCTCCAAATATTACAAGAGACGGGTATCTTCACACAATGCACAGTCAACATGTGGAAATGGCGGCCATGGGATGTCATGAAGGCCAAAACTATAACTGGGTTAAAAAAAGAATTAGATAATTCATGGACGATAAGTCCAACAAATGCTGTTAACCAAGATGGTCAGGGACACAACCCTATGCTCTGGGTGTCCCTAAATCTCCAACTGCCAGAAGTTGGGACTGGACAACAGGAGATGGATCACTTGAAATTGCCCTGTTCTGTTCATTGTCTCTGAAGCATGTGACACTGGCTACTGTCAGAAGACAGGATACAGGGCTAGATGGGCCATTGGTCTGACCCAGTATGGCCGTTCTTACGTGTCCATGATAAACACTGTCCAAACAGTACCTACATGAGAAGGAGTCCACAAATTAGCTTTGCCACACCCATAATGCATTATTCATTAAATCACTGGTGTTTTTCCAAGTATATCCGTGTACAGCAAACTTATTAATCAGATGTATGTACATAAGAAGAATCTCCACATTGCCAGGACGGTATGTTCCATGTCTTATTGTAGTGCCCTGGCAGATCAGTCAGGTTATAGGGTCTCTCCCTAGGGGTATGTCTACACTGCACAGTTCACCCATTGTACTTATGCAGGTTTTAACCTTAATCCCCCCCTTGCTGTCTGCACAGCAAAACCTTTTACCCAGGTTTGGAAGTGCTTTAAGACCTGGCTAGCTTACCTAGCTGGGGGTTAGAACCCAGGCTACTCTAACTCACACTGGAACCCACCCACTTTGCAGTGAAGATGCAGGCTAAATCACTCAAGTGCTGATACTTCTCCAGTGTCCTTTCACGATTCCGCACCCTCCCCCCCGCCAAAGGCCAGACAAGTTCTCCCATAACTGACAACTGACTGGGAATGATTCCTAGAGCATCTCAGCACAAAGAACCTTGGGATATGCCCCCAGACACACATGGGTGAGTGCAGAATCAGTGAGGACAGTGTAACTTCGATAGGATTTAGAAGTGGGGATGCTCACATCTGGGGTAGACTAACCAGGGTGATCAGACCCAGGTGCCAATCACCCAGGTAAACTGTGCAGTGTAGACATAGTCTACATTGCAATCCCAGAAACACGAATATTCTTTACATGCAGTTTAGCAGCATTCAAAAGCATGAACTAATTACCTACCACTGAAAACATCAAGGAAACTCATAGAGAAACTCCAGTCTGATTCTTACAAACAAAAATGCCTCCTATCTGTATGGGCCAGAGGCAAACACATCAGCACCAATAGAAAACAGATGTTGGAGAGTAAATGTTTATCCATAAGGCAGAATGAATGCCTGGGAATCACTAAAACGAAATATCACTGTATGCGTCTTCAGTCTCTTAGGCCAGGTATGCATAGACTGCACTTTTTTACCCTGAGTTACTTGATTGCCAATTAACTCAATCTCTGCAAAGGGATAGTGTGGACATTCCTCAATCCTTCATCCCAAGATACAAACATTTTTGCTTTAACCTAGGGCTCAGCCAGGAACAAATCATATGGGATCATCCACACTAGCCTTTACAAAGCAGTTAACCACCTTGAGTTAACTGGTAATTAATACACTTGAGGAGGAAAAAAATCACTCTAATGGAGACAAACTCTAAAGGGTTAAGCCCCAAATCCAAAGGGAAGGGGGGATAAAGGATAAATCATGAATACAGTGAAAAGAAGGAAGATTTATTCCCAAACCACAAAATCTACCTCATGAGACATTTCTTCAGAAGAATCCCAGGTGTGATAAATTTATAGCCTTTCCTCTTTACTCCTGCTATTACTCTTTCCAAAGCAGAGAGTATTATGTTTTCAAGTCTTTGACCTTGGATAAAGCGTGGGATTCCTTTCATTTCCCCCCACAATATACATCCCCATACCCCATTTGCCAACACTGCATTCCAATGTCATAGTTCAGACAGACCTCATAAATTAGTAACAATATTCTCATGTAAATCTACCAGAGGAAGGGCCCAGATCCTATTCCCATTGAAGTTAATAGGACTTTTGCCAGGCCAACCATTTCTAAGTGGGAGGCAACACGGCTTAGTAACTAAAGAACAAGACTCAAAGTCATTAGTGTTCAGAGTTTGCCAGGCTGAGCAACCAGTTACCGCTGAGATGAGCTACCAATTGATAATGTAAGACAATGTAACTGTAGGCTGCAAATGCAAAGGCTTCATCTCATGAGAAAAGGAGGTACCGTTGTAGTCCTTCACTGTACAGTTCTGGTGTGACCACTTCTGGAATACTGCATTCGTATCTGAGCATCTGATTACCAGAAAGATATTGACAATCTGGAGAGAGCGTAGGGAAAGACAATAATAAAAGATTAGGGGCTGAAAGGACTGACTAATAAAAAGCCTAGTGGAGTTAAATTTGTATAACATGGCTAAGAGACAATTAAAAGGAGACATGATAACAGCTACAAATATATGAAGTCTGTAAATGCCAAGGAAGGAGATGAATTAATTATGAGAGTAAAAGGGGCATAAACAAGAGAAATGGAAAGAAATTTAGAAAGGGAAATCATAAACTGAATGTCAAGAAGAACTTCCAGACAGTGACCTCCACCAGGCTGAGAAACAGTCTCCATACGGATATGTGTAAGCCCTATTGCTTGGGACATCTAAAATTGAACCAGGAAAACACCTGAAAAAGATGGCCAAGGGTTGCACTAGATGATCTAATAAGTCTTTTCCATCTCATACTTCTATGATAGATCAGGGACCATCTGAGGGGCAATAAGTCTTGTGCCCATCATGTAAGCAAAGTATCTGATCTATGTAAAACCTAATTTACTGAGAGCACCTTTCCATCTACAATGCCCTGAGACTGAAGCACCTGACTCAAGACCATCAGCAACCAAGGCTGAGATAAGCTTTATTTACAAAAGTCTGCATTACGCTGTTTATGAGGAACTTAGAGCAAAACGTGATTAGTGATAAAAAGTTTGCATTCTGGTATATATTTTAAGAGTTTTTAATAAAGGGAAGACATACAGCATCATCCCAATAGATCAGTGTAGTTTATCTAAGAAAAGGCTAAGAATTGACTGGATCATAATCTACAAGTACTATACGGGGAAGAGATTTCTAATATACATCTCTTTAGCCTAGCAGAAAAAAGGCATACTAAGATCCAATGGCTGGAAGGTGAGGCGACATAAATTCAGACTAGGCATAGGGTAAATTTTTTTTTAACAGTGATAGTAATTAATCATTAGAAGAACTTACCTAGAAATATGGTAAATTCTCCATCACTTTAAGTCTTTGAAATAAGACTTGATGTCTTTCCAAAATATATACTATACTTCGAACAGAAGTTACAGGCTTGATGCAGAAATTACAGGATGAGGTTCTATGGCCTGTGTTATGCAGAAGGTCAGACTAGATGAGCATAATGGTCCCTTCTGGCCTTAAAATCTATTTATTTACTCACAATAAGTGGGATAATATTTCTCATCATTGCAAACACATCAGCTTCTCCTCTGGTCCTTCATTGGCTACCTCTCCAATTCTACTTCACATTCAAGTGCCTCATCATTAACTCCAAGGCCTGCATTACTCTTTCCCCATCTATACTTCTCATCTCTTGCTTCTCTTCTGTTCCCCATGATCTGCTCTCCTTATTTCATCCTTCTTTTCTCACTCAGAATTGCGCCATTTTCATGTTCCCTTTATGCTGCCTTCCATTTCATGTGTGTGAGGAATCCGCCCCCATCAAATCCACTGCTGTGAAGAAATCTTCCAGTTTTGCTCTCAAGACAACCTTTCATTCTGAACTGAAAATCTGTGGGTGATAGATTTTAAACTTTGCAGGGTAAGATCCTTGTCCATTTCACGTGTTTGAGAAGAGTTACAGAGCTCTATAAATAACATTTGCTCTTAGGAGTCTATGAAAGGAAAACAAAATCAGCATGAAGGTGCAAACTGTGCATATAACTTCCAGATTTTCAGCCTCTTACCTGTGCTACTTCTTCAAAATCATCATGTCTTTTCTGAAGGGCTCGTGCCCTGTGCAGAGATTTTCCCACTCCAGTGTGTTTACTAAGAAAGGCTTCCCCATGGTTTTCGATCCAGTCCAATACCTGGGCACAAAAGAAGAACATCCAATTATCTATTATGTCTCTTTATCACACAGAATTTCTCAGTAAATGGCTAAAATAGCTGAAAAAATTATTTGTGTATGTTTGCTATAGTAAAATACACTGGCATATGGCAGAGCCTAATCCAATCAGACTGAAGACAAAGTGTTTTTAGATGTTAGTGATAAATTACCATTATTGGAATGCCATTACCTGTTTATATGGGTTACACATAACATGATCGTTTGAGAGAACATACGTGTTTGCTTTTGAATAATTTAATTTGAGATTCTCTGAACTGCAGGGGTGGGGGGAAATGGGAAGTCTTTTACATCTGGTATCTTCCACTTGTTATACATGTGACGTTTCACTCCATATTCTTTATGAAAATATGCTTATGATATGAATATGACATAACTGAGATATACTTAATGCAAAATGGGTCTTGTAAGATATCATTGGAAAAGTTATGATTTACTGAATGTGATTATCCAATTTGTATGCCTGTATCATTTCTGTATCTGAAGTTAGGAATATTGACTATGTATCTGTGTTTCAACTAAGCTACTTTGGGTGATGCCCACTGCTAACACTTCAGGTACAACAATAGAAAAGCCAGACAGGGCTGATGACCCATCAGCAAGGACAATGAACTGTGAAAAGACTTGGCCTTCTTGGGGTAACTCCATACTTTCATGGACACTGTGATACTACAGAGTCAGGTGGTCTTGTCACGTCATACTAAACATTACCTGGGACTTCTTGTAATTTTCCACTCAAAGGGAAGGGGGTCAAATTTGGGGAACAAAGGATTCCCGCCTTATGTAAATCCTATTTAAGGGTGGGGAAGAAGGCAAATGGGACTCCTCCTCTCCATGTCCTGTCTGCCCAAGAAAGACTGCTAAAGCCACCTGAAGTGAAGGCGGGGGGGGAGGGGAGGAGTCCAGAGAGGGGTCCAGTCTGAAAAGAAATATAACTGGAACTCTGAACCACAGAAACTTTGCAACCTTCCTAAAATAATAGTTAGAGTAAGAAATTACATTTTGTAACCTGTTTCTTAAGTATACTGAGCTTAGCTTGTGTATTTTGCTTTATTTGGTCAGTAATCTGCTTATCTGTTATCTCTTATATTCACCTTTTGTAGTTAATAAACTTATCTCTTGTTTATAATATAACCCAGTTTATGTACTTTCTAACGTGGGGGGGGGGTGGGGTGGGCGCAAGAAGTTGTGCATATCTCCCTTCACATTGAGGGAAGGGGCGAATTTCATAAAACCTTTGGGTTTGTACCTCTTAAAGGGAGTGGGCACCAAAGTGTTGGGGCAAGCTCCTAAGGCTGAATCTTACCAGAGCGGATCTCTGTCTCTCTGTGCAGCTGGGTGCGGCCCTGCCTGTGTGCTTGGCTGGAAGAGGCTTGTGAGCCTAACCCAGCAAGGCCAGGTAAAGAGGACCCAGGATGGCAGAATAGGCTGACTCAGTGGCATCCCAGCACATCAGGTGACACCCAAAGGGCCCAAACCCACCACAATACACTCCCAGTGTAAACTGAAACCTAGTGCTAGTTGTGCAATGACTGACTTCACACAAACAGCAGACTTCAGCGTGCAAAATCTAAAACAAGTCCAAACACAGGAGAGAGGGATAAATTTAAATTGCTCAGGAGGAGCCGAGAGAGGGTTATCAGGGCATCTCTCACACAGTGGGGGTGACCGACCAACCCGACCCTCCCTGCCCGACTCTCTCCACCCTCCATGCCTGGCTGGGTCCCCGGGACAACCCATCTCTCCTGGTACCTGGTGTCAAGTCCTCCTGAGGCAACACGTAGGGGGGGCATGCAAGGTCACATGCCCTCCCTCCCCAGATTTCTGCCAGGGTTCACACCAGAACGTGGCCAGCAGCAGCCTTTCGGCACTGCGCAGGAGGGAAGGGATGGGGCTGCTTCCAGCTACAGGGGAGGGGGGGAAGGGATGACCTGGCCTGTGTCTTTGTAGAGATTATCTTTCTCCCCCCGCCCTCCCCGTGTGGCTGGAAGAAGCTTGTCCCTTCCCTCCTGCGCAGTGCCGAAAGGCAGCTAACACCTCCAGGCTGCTGCTGGCCACCGACATAACCCAGCTGCCTCTAGCTACAGTGCAGACAGGAAGGGGTTAATCCCTAAGGATTAGGGTTGCCAACCCTCCAGGATTTCCCTGGAGTCTCCAGGAATTAAAGATTAATCTTTAGAGATTATGTCACGTGATGAAACCTCCAGGAATACATCCAACCAAACCTGGCAACCCTACTAAGGATGCATTGTGCACCAGAGCCCAGGGAACCTGGCTGCAGGGGCTTCTCCAAAACCGGCCAGAGAGGTGACTCAGCAGGCAGCAGGAGAGGGTGCCATGGGGACAGAGCAGCCCTGCACTCCCTGGGGGCAGAACCCGGGGCGGGGTGGGGGGTGAAGAGGGTTCTAAGCCCCTGCCACGGGGGCTGCTGTGGAGCCTGCAGGTTCGGGATGTGAACAGGCTAGAAATCGCTCCCCCTCCCCGCCACTCCAGAGCTTAGCTGAGGGGTAGAGAGGCTTCCCCATGCCAGCACTGTGCGGGGCTTTGGCACATGCAGGGCTCAGCTCCTCCTGGCCAGCGCTCCGGGCCGGAGGGTCTTGGGCTTTCCCAAGTGCTGACCGGAAACGGGACGGGGGGTGGGACCCTGCTGGCCAAGAGCTGGCATGCAGGGGCCCTGCACTGACGGACCAGCAGGGGGAGAGGCCAGCCTTGCACACCCACTCTCTTTGCCAGTCACTGGACCCCCGTCCCAAACTCACCGCTGGTGGGCAGGCAGCTGGTGAGCAGGGATCCGGCCAGCAGCAGGACCCACCAGTACTGACAGGGTGGGGGGAGACAGAAAATACAGGACAATTTGCCCCGTTTTTAAGAAAAAGTCAGGACACCTGCAGGAGGGCTTAAATACAGGAATGTCCCTTTAAAAACAAGACATCTGGTCACCCTATGCAAGGTGATCAGTACTGTTTGCAGGTGGGGTTTCCCTTCAGCTCCCATTGAAGTCAATGGAGAACTGAATAGTAGCTGGAGGTTTCCTGATAACCAAGAAAGGTTGGAGCCTGCATTATGATAAAGGGTGAGACCATCCTGATTTCCCTCGAGAGAAAATTATCATCACCATAGAGCTCTGCCAGCACAAAGTGGCTCCTACTTTCATACTTCACATGATGTGGCACTGGAGGATAAGCAGAGAACGTCACATTAGCAGGGCCCCAGTCATGTAGGCGTGGGGGTGGGGAGGGAAATAGCAACTGCAGGTTTATCAGCATTGTCTAGACCACTGTGGCTTTGTAAGATCACTCCATGCATTAGCAGGGATGCCTAGAGCCCAAGACAGAAGATACTGGCTGAGTGTAGGAACCATTTGGCAAGTGTGGCTTTGGTGAAAGCAGCTGTTACTGATTAAACTGAGATAACTGAAAAAATGAAAAAATGGAAGGTGTGACTTTTATTCAGGCAAATGGAGCCATTTCATGATTTAGCTGTATAGAATCTTTAACACCTGGAGTTTCAGTTTTTCCTTCCATTATATATTCTATATGCCTCTTTATAATGAGATCCTCTATAGCTGCAGTTTTATATGTACTGTCATCTTTCCTCTCTTCTTCCAATGATGGCAAGAACATTGTAATAATAATATTTAGCATTTACACAGTAATTTTCATCCACAGAGTTCAAAGGACTTCAGAAAAGTGGGTACTGAAGCACCCTACCTCCTGCTGAGACAATGTATAGTTGTCACAAATGCCATTTTGTGTATTAACTAGTAGGACTTGGGATTTTGAAAACAAAATTCCTATCCCTGCTTTTTCTTTTACGATCTACTCTGTTCCCATTTGCCTAGGTTATAGAACCTAACACATTCCTTTAATGATATGACAGTAACATAACACCTGGCCTGCTAAGAGCTTTTCTATGATATGTCTTGTTTGCATATAACTTGTAATAATAGTAATTATTGGAGGGTTGCCTGCTAGCACAGCTGTCATTATGACTCTATTAATACTTCCATTAACATCCTCTTCCCTTTTGTCAGGGGTTTGCAACTTGTTATTAAAATTGGATTCAGGCTAAATCATGACTTAGAAGATCTCAACCCACGAGGTCACAGTCTCTTTTTTTAATAGAAAATTGTAAGCTGTAAAAATGTGATTTCCAATAAACTCACAAATGGCTTCAATTTTTTGGGCAACTTTTTCATATTTACAGCATCAAAAGTAATTTTAAAAACTATATATATATATAGCATTTTTCATCCTGAAGCATTACACACGGTATTCAGAGGGGCTGCTTTAATCACTATTGAAATGTTTCCATTTCTGGTATGGGATACCTTCTTTTTTAGGCAACTCACATCAATAGTGTACAACAATTTAAGACAGGAAATGAAAAATACAACACCCACTTTAAATTGTAGGGGGAATACAAGTAGACAACATATGTTTACCTATAGGGGCACTGATATAAATTATGATATTCCTGCAAAAAGGGACATAGGATATTTAATCCATAACTAGTAACGACATTGGTTTTGCATCTCATCCACACAGCACAGAGCTCCCTAATGCCAGGCTGTGGCATTGATTCAATACTAACTTACAGGGGAGGGTGCCATTTGCTGAATTGCCACACCACTTCCTGCAGTATTGGGAGGTTTCCTTTGAGGTCCCCTCTCTAAGTGCTGCCCTGGCCCAACACTACTTAGCGCGTGAAATCAGATAAAATCACACCTCAGGATAATGAGGTTGTATGTCCGCTTCATAAATCAAAACAAGGTGAATAGTTCAGCTAAAATCTATTAATCATTCACTAACGATATACGCCTCAGTGCCCTATTTGTCTACTCCCCTCACAACAATCTCCATCCTTTTTCTATGCTGCCTCTGTGCCTGGAATGCCCTTCCTAAACAAATTCACTAGACCACCTTCCCTTCATGAAGTATCTGATACAATTTCTTCCTTAGG